CCGCTTTTAACAGTATTCAAGTTATATCACGGCGTGTTAGCTTAATGTTGGAGGAAAGCCCGAATTGATACAGGTCTCAGACGTTTACCACTTCGGTGAAACCCACGAGCACGGGTATGGTACTGACAAACCTAGAAACATAATCAGGGCGAACCGGGATTCGAACCCACAATGATAGGTTTCTGGCGTGCCCAAGGGACGCAACTCTGCACAGCGAATTGCGGCACCTTAGACGACTTGGCCACCCGTGCCCCCGGCAAATGACAATGAATTTCGTATAGCTAACGAATACCGAAGGTTACCCATGGAACGAGGAACAGCTAACGAGGGCAGCTCAAGAAGTTAAATATTGGATAATCCTTGGTGACTTTAACGCCCACAGTCCTTCACGGGAAGACAGGAATGATTCTTGCAAATACGGCAAAATCGTAGAGAAATGAGTTGAAGACGACAATCTCATAACTCTAAAACAACGGCACCACACACGTTATGACCATGTTCACAACACATGGAGTTCAATTGCCACCGACGACCTCCCTGCACATTGCCCATGGCAAGTCCATGTTGACACTTGGGGAAGCGACCACTTTCCTATACTCACTAACATAGGTAGCCCACCACAATCAGAGGAACAGCCCAAATGGTACTATGCATAGGCAGATTGGCCTAATTTCAGGAAGGTGTATAATTAAAATCCTCAGAAATTGCCTCTAAAAATCCTGAAAAACGTTGAGCTTTTAACATTCTTCCAGTTATATCACGGCGTGTCAGCTTAAAGTGGGAGGAAAGCCCGAATCGTGGCGCCTTAGACGACTGGGCCCCCGTGGCCCCCGTTTCGATGTAGATTCTTACACCGTTATCAAGCTGGAGAGGTATATAGGCATGACATGTTGTGACATGCAGCAGATTAACATCGACAACAATGGTAATAGATAACAAGCAGATGATTGGATAAAGCCACGTGTACAGCACGAATAGCAAATAGCACACGGGCATGGAAGCCAAATATACAGTGAGGATAAGGATTGAAGGGATTATACAGTTGTGGCAAGCTGATTGGATACTATTTAAATGAGCAGTGTCTCTGGAAGCAAACTTCAGAGACAACTTCCTGCTAGACAGGTCGCTATCAGTTTAAATAGGGAACAATCAATCTGATCCTATGACACTGGACAATGGCACGCCACAAGGCAGCATTATAAGCCCAACCCTGTTTAACATCACGATCGATGATCTTTTTCATCATATCAACTCTCCTACCCAAACTTCGCTGATGACGGAGCGATATGGGTAAAACACAGAGATATTTCAAAACCAAGTGAAAAAACTGTGGAGTTCTATTTAAACGCAAGGGGAAAGATGCTATGATACCCAGTCTCTCCATAAAAGGCAAACGAATCACATTCGATAAATCCGCAACATGTCTAGGGGTGATCCTTGATGGACACCTCCCTTGGCGCAAACATATAGAATATATGGAAAACACATGTCGAAAAGACCTGAACGAATTAAGGGGCAATTTCAGGCACATCTTGGGGCACATCGAGCGACACTCAGCTGGACCTCTACAAATCACTTATCAGAACAAAAGCTGACTATGGTTGTGAGGCCTTTCACGCAGCATCAAATACTGTCTTTAGCCGCCTCGACATAATATACTGAACCGCAAAAGAAACGTCTCCATGGATAGATATATGAGAAACCTTATTTGTCCAAACACTGTGAACATACTTTGAGATATATTAAAAAGGTGAAACTTGGCAAAACTGATCATCAAGGTGGAAATTAAAGTGTCAAATGTTCTCAAAGTGAAACACAACACTATTCTCTGAGAAAATGGCATCACAAGTCAGTATCCCGTGTGTCCGCCATGTGCATTGATGACTTCCGTGCAACGTCGATACATGGAATGGATGAGGCGGTTGATGAAGGCCATGGACACTTGAGCCACACTCTGAGGAACGCCTGACGCAGTTCAGCTGCAGTTGTCGGCCTTGGTCGGACGTCATTCAGCCGTCTTTGAATCAATGGGATTTAAATCGGGACTGAGGGCAGGCCACTGCATGGTTCTGATGCTAATCTGGTGGAGGAAGTCTCTTGTTGCTTTCGCAGTGTGGGCACGGGCGTTATCATGCTGAAACTCGTGGTTGCGGCGACGTGCCAAATGAGGTATGGCACGTGGTCTCAAGACTTAATCAATGTACCGAGCTGCTGTGACACCATTGCCTCTCCCTTGACCGATGTTCTGGAAGACCAAAGGCCGACCCACAGTGCAAGACCAATTTCCACCCCACACCATGATGCTCGGACCACCACACGAGTCTCTCTCAATAACACAAGCATCCGAATAACGTTTCCCACGGCGTCGGCCGACTCTCTCTCTTCCATCTGCTGTTGAGATACAGTAACGGCTTTCGTCTGAGAAGAGAACTCTTCTCCACTGCTGGTGGCGCCAATGCTGGTTCTGTGTTGCCCACTGAAGACGGTTCCGGCAAAGGCGTGGTGTCAGAATGGGTCTTCGGTCTGGCCCGTGACAGTGGAGGTGTCTGCTCGTCAATCGTCGACGCACGGTGTCCGCAATAATGTGTCGCTGGTGTGTCCCCATGGTCTGTCGAGCAGTTTACGCAGCAGTAACAAAGCGGTCTTGAAGATGCTGTCGCACAATCTGACCATCCTGACGTCGGGTGGTGACCCTTGGTCTTCCACTCCCTGGTCGGTCATCTGTAGTGTTGGTGGTCTGGTACCGTTGCTGGAGCCTGTATATGGTCCTTACGTGGACTTGAAATGCATTGGCTTCTTGCGGGACGGTTTGTCCTGCTTGCAATCGTCCTAGGGCTTGGTGTCGCTGATTTCTTGTCAATCTTGGCACGTGGTAGCAATTCAATAACGAATGAATGTTATCCGATCCGGGTGGATTTTTATAGGGCAAGAAATGTTGGAACGCATGTGCATTTCAATTTGCACGGAACTCACGTGCATCGGCCGTTGTCGTGATGCATCTGGGCGATCGGTTTTATTGTCATCTGCTTTGGTTTTTTTATCATCAAATTTCATTTTTCCGGACAAGGTTATATTACATTTTTGAAACTTTGACAAAAATTACCTAGATTATTAAATGACAACTTTTCATGCAATGTAACTTGGGGTGACGTTTCTTTTGCGGTTCAGTATATATAACATGAAGAATACATTGCTACCTCCTCAAGTCGTTATAGCGCTCAAGCATTACTCTTTTGAACGCTTATTGTTATTGTTAACGCAGCGCCTTATATACTTGATCAAACAGCGACGAGTTGTCTTTCGCATTCCCAGAATGAATAAACCGTGACGTTAATCAAAAGTCCCCGAGAGTTTACTTTCGCGCCTGCATGATCGCTCCTCCACACATACTCCGCATGCGTATGAAACGTAATATTTGGCGATCGTGCAGATCAAGGAGCACTAGCGTTACAGTTGATGAGGATGAGGACGCTAACTTTGACCTCTTGTGGGTCGTTCAATCAGAGATCGTTCAATCGGGTTGTAGTCAAAACGGCCTCAAAACTCAAAAGTCAAAACGGCCACAAAAAAAGTCAAAATAGCCACAAAAAAAAAGTCAAATCGGCCACAACAAAAAGTATACATCTTAGATGTTGTTATACACTCTAAATGAGTGTCCGATGTAAGGATGCTATGTTATTTTCTTCCAGTAGAGTTCACGTGCTGTTTTAACCAATCTCATCAATTTACTTTGATCTCTGTACTGACCAGTGTACCAATACGTTGTGAAAACATGAATAAATTTTTGTCCAAATGATTAAACCTTTCGCGGCCTCGCGATTATACAAGGGAGGCGACATCGAAGCTCTTTTGATATATGCGCTTCAAACCATGGACCAAGGGTTTAAATGTGTGATATGTAATGTGTAGTTAGTGCTGAAGATCAATAACAATATACCATTAACCTGATCTGAGTGAGTGAGTGTGGTTTAACGCCGCTTTTAGCAATATTCCAGCAATATCACGGCAGGGGACACCAGAAATGGGCTTCACTCATTGTACCCATGTCGGGATCCCGACCCCGGGTCTTCGGCGTGACGAGCGAACACTTTAACCACTAGGCTACCCGACCGCCCCGATCTGATCAATGAACTGTTATACAATGTATAGAATACAATTAATACATAATACAATAAATGTGAAACAGTACTTGAGTTCGTCTTCTTTATTTTCTGTGTGGACGTTTTGACCTTTTTTCTGTTGCCGTTCTGAGGCCGTTCTGAGCCGCTCCCGTTCAATCGATTTAAGATAGCATTTAGTGTCATGCGAAAATCCAACTACATTGTCGGGTCGTGAAACTTACCTCAACGAGATAGAGTTTAGGTGAACCTACGTTTGGGTTTGAACGTAACATCAAGTTCACAGCTGTTATGGTTGCTTCGGGGGCGGTCGGGTAGCCTAGTGGTTAAAGCGTTCGTTCGTCACGCCGAAGACCCGGGTTTGATTCCCGACATGGGTACAATGTGTGAAGCCCATTTCTGGTGTCCCCCGCCGTGATATTGCTGGAATATTGCTGAAAGCGGCGTAAAATCATACTCACTCACTCACTATGGTTGCTTCGTGAAAAGCAACGTAAATCTTAACAAATCCCTTAGGTTCACATAGTACACCGTCGGTATGGATCTTTGTGTTCATCATAACAATCTCTGGTTTACGTGTCAGGATAAGAATCCATTATTTACAGGCCTTCCTGGAGTACCTTCGTGTACCGCGGTGTTAAGCAAAAGTCCACTCAACCAGTCAGTCTTTATTAATTTGGTGTACACTACCTCTATGCTGCTCAGTCAATAAATGATTATCTCCATACCGCTTTCTAAATGGCATTGTGTGTTCATAGCTTCGTTCCTTGTTCCGTGTTTGGGTGAATCCATTGAATAGGTGCAGGATATTCACTGTGCAATCAACCATGCACTCTGTTGTTAGAAGCTGTAGGTGTTTTGGAAGGATATCCTATATTTATGACATAAAAAGCAGTTTGTTTTCTTACATTGACATGCATACACGTGTAATTACTTTCTAAAATTAACCATGTTAATGATTAATAGATAGGCCAAGAACAATGGTTTAAGCAGGAAAGTCATTGTCGTTACTACGGGAGATGTTAGCCGTTGCTATCAGCAGAGCAGGTTGTAGGGCAACAACCCATGAACACATGTGTAGAGGTAGGAGTACGGTGGTGACACGGACGCTGACGATGAAGCTATTCTGGAAGGTGACCAAGAGGATTACCAGAAAACCTTTCTCAAGTGAGTTTATATGTGTCTGGGTCCTGATCGTTGTATATGTACATGTAAAACAGAGAGTGGGCGGTCAGCAGCGTTATCTGTTCACACTGCACGCCATTGGAGTTGACGAATTATTGACCCACTTGTTTTATCAGCATTGACACGGCATCTTCTTCTCAGGTGAACAGCGTCTAATGCTTAGCAACAACGCCGTAGAATAAACAGTCTCGAATACATTCCATAGCAGATTCTATCGGGCGTAAAAGGTAAAATAACGATGAAAATTATATGAACAGAGCACTGAAAATCCATGATGTCTCCATGTGTTTGCTGGAAGGGTTAGCACGTCATGCTCTAACGGGGTAGCATCCGCTACTCACACGATACTGGTATTTCAGAATCCTGAGTCTACATGTAGAGTTGCTCTCATAACACAGAATCTAATGATGATGGGTTCGCCCCAAAGACTCATTTTGTTCCCAGACCATTTCCGACCAGTTCCACCAAAGTAGTAAACATGTAAACAAGAGCTGCTACGCTTCCCTCTCATCAAGCTGACACGCTGTGTCATAACCCGAATACTGTTCAAAGCAGCGTTCACCTCACTCAAAGTTTCGACCAAATACTTCTCTAGTGGGGGGGATAGTACTAAAACCTGGAAAGTTTTGCATCATTAAGTTATTGCGAGTGGGTAACAATAGCCTTTACTGTGTCTGTCAAGTTTTGCTACACCATGTCGAAGAGATTATTACAGATGAAAGTTGCGTTTGCACAGGTTATTTTCTATGATAGGGAGCAGCGCGATAACATGGTTGCTCAGTGTCAGTCAATGTTGTAGTAGTTGACACAGAAGGTTGGAGTAGCGTGTTTCCGTTGTTTATATTATTAAAGGCTGGCGTGATTGGGGAAGTGTTTAATTGACAACTCGGTATTCGTTTAAGTGTCAGTTTCATTAAAGAATGACATTATATGATAAAGAGGTTATCACGCTTGTGTGTTTGGGGATGGTAAATATCCTGCATTAGGAATAAACATTGTATTTAGTGAGCCTTGGCGAGCTAAATACATTGTCTTTATTCCTAATGCAGGATATTTACCATCCCCAAACACACAAGCGTGATAACCTCTTTATCATATAATGTCATTCTTTAATTCTGTGCTTCAAAATCGCTTTCCCTCTCTCACAAACAATACCGAAACATTGCAAGTTTTCCTTGAATGCGCGCATTAATATTTATTACGTCTGACTCGGGTAAGTGATGTGTCAGTCGGACAGTGACAGTAGCCAATATAGTTCCAACTGAAATCTCTTTCTTATACAGTGGCGAAGCAACATATACTGATTTTATTAGACTGTTCTTTTGATAATGAAAGCAATTATCTCTGTAGTTTATCCAGATTCCCGATGGTTAATTCTGACTCGATCGCCAAATGACGAGGGCGACGCCATGTTTGTTTATAAACAGTGAAAGAAGTCCCTACTTGACCTTTGATATTTGAAGCTCTATCCGCATATGACCCCAACGGATATCGTTTTTATCCGTTGGCTTTATCCTGCCGAGAAACCTACTCATTATATGATAAAAAAAAGATATCAACATGACGAGTGACAGGGTCAACGGTTCTTTCTAATTAACTTACATAGACATACAATATATGTGGACATATGTCTTATATCCTTCAGCCTTTTGGGTTATACAGTTCTACAGAGTTTAAAAATATTTGGCCACGAGTAGCATTTTTGGAATAAACAGAATTCTTTGTTGGAGTAGAGCTTCTCAACAGAAAAGATAGTGAAACTCATCTCCCACTGAAAGTGAATTACAGAGTTGACAAAGTCATTCTTCTGTAAGGAAGTTTACGATGTGTGGCAGATAAGTGAACTTTCCTTTTGGACCATTGACACGGTCAACTCGCAAAACTTTCAAGATTTACAGTTTTAGTAGTTTATTCAAGAAGAATGTAGGCCATCGTCCCATATTTACAATGGCGGTCCATTATCACACAAGAAAACATTGATGCAGAGCATCAAAGTTCCCCGCCATATGTGATGCCTCACAAACGCATAATTATGATGTTACTGAAAGGCACGATGGAGCATAATTATATTAACCACAAATAACACAACGCTGTTGTGGAATTTTTAAAATTTATTATGAGTATTAGGCAATACAGTTGATACATTTGCATAGGGTAGGTCTATTTAAAAATAGTTTCTTTTTTAACGCCGCACTCAGCAGTATTCCAGCCATATGACGGCGGTCTGTAAATAATCCAGTCTGGACCAGATCATCCAGTGATTGACACCAAGAGCATCGAACTACGCAATTGGAATATGATGTTATGCATCGACCAAATCGTCGCCTCTTACGGCAAGCATAGGTTGCTGAAGACCAATTCTAACCTGGGTCTTTATTTAAAAAGTAGATCGAAGGAAATGGAAGCAATTTCTGGCACAAATGTAAACATGTGGAAATAGTATCAAAACCGCCAGCAACATTCATTTGGCAGATGCACATACTCAAATAATAGATCACCTTCTTTTTACACTTGGCATTTGGTTATAATAATGTAAATGAAAATACTAAGGGGCTCCATATGGCAAAAACGTTATACTAGATAAGGTCTTTTTGTCACAACCACAGATGCACATACTCAAAATATTATCACGTAGTTGGAGAACATTTCAATACCGGGGCTAATCAATAACGGAGATTCCTCGTCTCTTGTTTTACGTTTTTTGGTCAGTTTCTTTTTTGTATTTCTTTCTTTCAAAGAATAGTAATTGTGATCATGATGAGTTGAGTTACTTTTTTTTCTTTCTATGTACTGTTTTTTTTATCCAGTGTCAGTAACTGTTGTGGAATGTGGTTTACTTGTAACAATGACTGGTTTGAGTTCATATGATGATGATTGATTGGTTTGTCGTTTAACGCCGCACTAAGCAATATCCCAGCTATTTGACGGCGTTCTGTAAATAATCGAGTCTGGACCAGACAATCCAGTGCCTAATATCATGAGCATCGATCCACGCAATTGGGATCGATGCCATGCATCAACCAAAGCCTGACCATCCGATCCCGTTTGTCGCCTCTTACGACAAGCATAGTCGCCTGATATACTGTTAAGATGTAACATAAAAATTCATCCATCCTACTAAACAGAAGTAAAACCGCTTGTCCATTCGGATCAATCTGACCCAAACCATTCCGCTGATGAGAGTCAAATAATGCATACGAATCAAAATCCGTAAAATATGCAATACAGACATCATTAAAAGTTACCAAAAGTGACGGGGATATCAATATTGCTTGTTGAAATGATTCTATGAAATTTGTTTTCCCTGCTTCAATGTTTGGAGCACCTGTGACGGAGCCATAAAACTGATCTGTTATGTAGACAATATCGCTTGAGGCAGTGGCTGCTGGGAGCTGATTATGACCTAAATACCCCTCATAGCCTTCGGTGTTAACTATGTGACTGTAGAGAGCTGTGCCTTCATCCAACAGATTATCGAGGTCAGTGGAACACGGTACAGACGTAAATAGATTTGAGCCATGGGACACAAAATATATGAGTGACCAGAGCTACGGCTGTACACTGAATTCCATTAAACGGTTGAAAAATACTACAGCCTTGATGCAAATTCGCCGACACACTACTCCGATTTTGCTTTGACTTTGCTACCAAACGTTTCACATGTGGCTATGTGCGGTGAACTGATTATAAAAACACGGGGAACTGGGTTAATAAAAAAAAGGGAATATAACTATTCCAAATATTTCCAGGGAACATGAGCATCCAAACAATCAAAAGTGTGGTATGTAGAATGTGGAATTCAGCCATATTACATTTAAATTGAGATGTCGTCGTTGTTCCTGAATAAGCATATTCAGAACATAATTTTTATTATGCTGTTATTTACGATCTCCGGAGCACAGTTCTTCTTTTGTATACACCATGAAAATCAGAAAATTAGTCCTTGAGGAAAAAAGGACATCGGATTACACATGAATGGTTTAATAATGTCAGCTAATGACCAGAAACGGTCAGATGCATCAATTAACTACATAAAGACGATTTTGAAGTAGCTCTTATTGCTGGAAAAGAATAGCATCAACATTCCACGCACATGATTTGTATGTTTTGTTTCCGTAAATGCGTGGCTTGAAATTCTAAATAAACCAACATGTCGACATACATGCTACAAAATTAACGTTTCCCGTATACTTCCCCGCCTTAAGGGCGGTGAATAAACATAACACTGTTAGTCTGTAGTTGACAAGGCACATCATGTACACTAGACACTATTGGGAAAGATTTACAGTTAGTTGTTATCATGTATGGAAGCCACACGGCTTTCTTTCTGTACAAGTGGTCCGTGGATACCTACATATGATTTCAAGTTGACCACATTGTTTTTGCAAATCCATCAGTAGTCTTCATGCAATCCTACACGTTTCTGACCCGAGAAGATCCGGGGTAGAATAGTGCTTCAGCAACCCATGCCTGCCGTGAAAGGTGACTATGCTTGTCGTAAGAGGCGAGTAACCAGATCGGGTGGTCAGACTCGCTGACTTGGTTGATGCATGTCATCGTATCCCAATTGCATGGATCGATGCTCATGGTGTCAATCACTGGATTGTCTTGTCCAGACTCGATTATTTACAGACCGTCATCATGTAGCTGAAATATTGCTGAGTGCGGCGTTAAAGAAAAAACAAACAAAACAAAATGTTTCTTGTGTTGAAGCGAACATGTTATACCTTGTTTTTTGAAGTTATCATTACCATATGTTTGTAGTGGATGTGCATCACTTCCGTGTTTTGTCCTTCATCCTTTCTCTAGTGTTTGTGACGGGTGACACGGGTGGAGCAGGATACGCTCACCTTTTCTCGAACACCTGGTGTCAGCACTGTTTGATAGGGATTCATACACACATGCTCATAATATAGTCGGAATCGTACAACCGACTTTGCTTTTAGCAGAGATTTCTATTGAATATGGAAAGGATTTTGTCGCTTTTATTTAAAAGGAAGAAGGTTAGTACAAACTATAGCCTTTACTCAGTCATTAACAAGTGATTGATCAGGACATAACTCACCGTCTGTGTTGTTCCAGGTCTTGGCATCCTGCTCTGTTCTTCCCTCGTTGTTTTCGTGGGGAAAGGCCTCCTCAAACCTTCATATGTATGTAAGTATCATTTATCATATAATGCCAATAATAATACATAATATAACCGGATTTCCTGTCATCTAAGTTAATATTAACCCATGACTCGGCCGGGGATCGATCACCCGACCTTCCGCTTTCCGGGCGACGCTCTACCACTAAACCACGGAGGCTGTACACAAATTTTGAAATACTGAAATGCTCATAGAGAAAAACATATAACATATAAAATAATAATTAAATCGACTTTCAAGATTTAACCTTTATAGTATCTAAAAGTACATGTAGATTCAATGTTTTTATGTGATGTGACATATGTTATTTACAGGTGAACAATTGACTCGCCTTTGCATGTGTTTGTGATGGGTGCCACCGGTGGGGCAGGATACGCTCACCTTTTCGCGAACACCTGGTATCATCCCTATTTGATAGTGATTCATAAACACATGCTCGTGATATAGTGGGAATCGTACAGTCGAGCCTGCTTTATGCAAATATTTCAATTGGACGTGGAAAGAGTTTTGTCGCTTTATTTATTATTGTGAATATTCGCCATTTCTGCAGCAGCGAATACATGTAACCAGTGGCACAACCATGATTATTTTACCATACACTTGAAATTTGATTGGCTGAGACTATTCTACCATTTCCAATCATATATCATGACCTGTATACCCTTGGCCTCAACACACTCATGATAATGTTAATATGATTAAGGTACTACTGACTTTGTGTAACAAGACAACAATGAAATCATCATACAAAAATAATAATCAATCATATGAAATATTGGCATTTTGAAATTATCAGTTTCCTTTGTAAATGCTAAGAAACAAGAAGGTTTATATATTTAGAAGTTCGAAGGTGTCATTTAATAAAATTCATAGATGGTCTTTTGTCCGTTTATATGATAAATACATCTACATATATCAGAGTTTGTGACGTTTTGCTTTAATAGGAACAGTTGGATGCCTCGTTCTAGGTCAGAGTTTGTATTTGATAGTTCAGAAATAGATAGAAAACCATGGTGAAAGAATTTAGAATGCTAATCTCTCCTTACTCAGTTACTTAATTAATTGCGATCAGTTGTCCCAGGGTGGACACTGTGACCTCATCCATTCCCAGGGTGGACACTGTATTCAGCGAGTCTTAGGCAGGTCGGTGCCCACACTGGGAGGTTACCAATTATTTGTATGCTGAACGATTCAAACTAATCGTGTAAAATTGAATACCGATAATAAAATTACAATCGTCCTCTAGCTTATATTATGTTTATTTTCTCTGCCATACCCATGATACTTCCACTTTCACGAAGTGGATAAATGTATATCTGTGGTATCCTTGACGATTTGGACCAGAGCAGACATACGTAAGACCAGAGATCATAACCCGCACAAAACAAGGTGTGTGGTAAGATAGATTCGTCCTCGAGACCGGTTGACAACTTATAATTTGCTTCTTTTGTTACAGATGAATACATCGACTTGTCTCATCTTGCAAATATACCAGAAGCAATAGAACCAGGTAAGTGTTCTATATCCAACTGCTTTAACTAAACATGTTTTGAAGTAACTTTTATTCTTCAAATCTTCATCATCGTAAATTTGTTGGAATTCCAACTTTTTGATAGTTTGCATCTACATTAATACCCCCTTCATACCAATATTCATAATTAATCATAATAATGAATAAAAGAGATAAAACCCATTATCATAAAAAAAATCACTACAGAAGCACTGTCCAATGAACGATTACGACCTTTACATAATATAGGAAGAGAACGTTTCGGAGCATATGTTTACTCCTTCATCAGGTAAATGAATGCTTACTTACTTACTTACTTTGGAGATTTAACGTGCGCTTTCCGACTGCAGCGTATTTCGCACACGGGCCTGGCCAGACCATTTAGTGTATTCCGAGAAGGGTGAAAGTGGTGTGTGCAACACAAGAGGGGGCTTTTAGGGGTTGCTTATATCGATTTTTTGAAATTTTAAAATTTGGAATAAATGCCGAGGTGGGTGGAGGAGGGAACTAAGGGAGCCGGGTGAGGTGGGTGTTTGTATGTTTATTGGATTTTGGATTGGTAGATTAATTAGTTTTTAGATGCGCTTAATTAGGCCTGTTTTGATTAGGAATACGCCTAGGGCTATGAGGCAGAGAGCATATGTACGAGCGTATGTACATGCATTAGCAACAAAAGTAAAAAGATGACAAAAGGTGGAAACTTAACAGGGGAAGCCAACATATAATTGCCGCTGATGGGTGATTAGCAATGGACAATGGAAGCCAACACTTTACAGTTATTAGCGCTGATAGATAGGGACAACTGGAAGCCAGGACTTATTATCACTGATTGGTAATTGGTAATGGACATTGGGCAAAAAGGAGGCCGGGGGTAATTAGCACTGATAGGTAATAGAATGGAACCTAGTCTCCGGATGCTTCGACACATCATGTTTTACTTTCAATGCAAGATCTGCAAACATATCCACGGACTGCCCATGGTCTACCTCCCTATAGGCTCAACAAACACCTGTCAAAATAGGCAACTGCATGGACATAATTGTTGGTAACCTGATTTTTGAAATGTCCTCCCTGTCTACCTTAAAACGTTTGAAAGATTGACTAGGCCATTGAATGGTGTAACCCGGATTGTGATAATATTCACTGATGCGCTCACGCACACGAACACGCACACGCACACGCACACGCGCACAAGCACACGCAAACGCACAACATGCACACGCACACGCACACGCGCACACGCACACGTACACGCACACACGCACACGCGTACGCAAACATTCACATCCACAGTGCGTATGATAAATGACAACGTGTAAAAGTATCGTAACATTGTAATAACAGTTCCATTGCTTTTCCAGTTTTCGCAAACATCACCTTTGACGAGTTGCTGATTGAGCACAGGAAGGGATCTGAAGGTAGGTTCAAGAACGGAGAGTACTTTCATATATGGACATCATATGTATCGCCTCCACGTGTAGTTTTGTCGATTTGAAATGAAGTCCTGATTCATATATTGATAGCTCTGGAGATGAATTTATATGAAATCATTATTTCTTCATGCATGTATTTCAGTTATAGTGATGCAGCCATTGATCATTACAACAAAATGTTCCGTGGTACATTATAAGGAGTGAGTGAAGTTTAAGTATAAGGTTGCATCTGCGTAGGGACACTACTAGAAGCAGCACATACGAAAAGCGGCAGCACCAGGGTCCAATGGCACCAGCAGTAGAGTGGTATATGACATCAGCAGTGGGGTGGTATATGGTTTCAGCAGTAGGGTGGTATAGCCCCAGCAGTAGGATGGTGTAGCCCCAGCAGTTGGGTGGTATAGCCCCAGCAGTAGGGTGGTATATCCCCAGCAGTAGGGTGGTATAGCCCCAGCAGTAGGATGGTGTAGCCCTAGCAGTAGGGTGGTATAGCACCAGCAGTTGGGTGGTATAGCCCCAGCAGTGGGGTGGTATAGCCCCAGCAGTAGGATGGTATAGCAGCGGAGTAGGGTGGTTTATGTCATCAGCAGTAGGGTGGTATAGCCCCAGCAGTAGGATGGTGTAGCCCTAGCAGTAGGGTGGTATAACCCCAGCAGTAGGATGGTGTAGCCCCAGCAGTAGAGTGGTATAGCCTAAGCAGTAGGGTGGTATAGCAGCGGAGTAGGGTGGTTTATGTCATCAGCAGTAGGGTGGTATAGCCTCAGCAGTAGGGTGGTATAGCCCCGGCAGTAGGGTGGTATAGTCCCAGCAGTAGGGTGGTATAGCACAAACAGTGTGCTAGTATAGTACAAACTGTAGGGTTATGTGGCACAATACGTAGAACGGTATATCACAAGCAAAAGAGGTGACTTAACAACGCTGCACTGTGAGATGGATAGAACGCTATCTGATGCAATGTGTAATATCATTGTGATATTACATTCCAGCCCGGGTAGAGAATGTCAGCTTTGACGTCTTACTCAGAGAGTATGGAAAGAAAATTGGAGGTATGTAGACGTTGACTTTACAACCAGTGGCTGCACCATTGCAAAAGATAACTACTAAACCACTCTTTACTGATACAAGCATATCCACGTATAATACATATACATTGTAATTAAATCTCATATTTATATGTAGTGGTATTCGGCATTTACTATCTGGTTCATAGTCTATCCGTCACGAAGGGGGCACGGGTGGCCCAGTCGTCTCAGGCGCCGCGGTTCACTGTGCAGAGTTGCGTCCCTTGGGCATGCCAGAAACCTAAGATTGTGGGTTCGATTCCCGGTTCGCCCCGATTATGTTACTAGGTTTGTCAGCACCATACCCGTGCTCGTGGGTTTCACCGAAGTGGTAAACGTCTGAGACCTGCATCACTTCGGGCTTTCCTCCCACATTAAGCTGACACGCCGTGATATAACTGGAATACTGTTAAAAGCGGCGTTAAACCCTTTCTCACTCACTCACTCACTATCCGTCACGGCAAAGTAGACAGTTTATGGATAACAACTTCTTTATATACTGTAATGGCCACGTTTCGGTATGGATCCTTGTACCGTTGTCAAGCAAGACTGAATAATGAACATGGTATAGAATAGATATGGTAAGTGGAGGATTAACAGTAACAACAAGTGCATACATGAGAGAGATTAACCTGAGTAGGTTAAGTAATAACAACTAAAGGATAATACTGTAACAACATGATGGACAGAAAACACATGATGAGGAAGCAAATAAACAGGAAGCTAAAATATTAGATAGGATTAGGTACACATAGGTGGGGTGATTATTGCTTAATGAGTTCATAGTAGGCGGATGGGATGAAATAGCCTCGATCCCTGTTAATTGATGGCTTGTGGCGGCGAATGTGGACTGCTTCTGTTAGTTTCTTTCAGTGAAGTCATGGAGGTTGATGAAGAGGATTTGGACGTTTTCACAGTTGATGTTGGGATCAGAGCAGTTGCTGATATGGTCCGAGATGGCTGATTAAATGTCTCATGGTTGAAGTTTTGTGCTCTTTCATTCTGGTGTTGATGGGGCGGGATGTTTCACCAAAGTAGGATTGTCAACAGTTACCGTCAATTTTATAAACTACACCTTCAGGTTTTTGGCGTTTGGTTGTGTTTCTGCCGTTGGCTCTTAGGGTTTTGAGGGAGGTGGATCTGGTGAAGTAGGTGTCAATATTGGCTTGCTGTTTGAGGTGGCTGATTGATGTGGGAAGCTTTTCCACTTAATAAGAGGGCGATGCGGAGGGGCGCTGAATCAGGTTTGGCGGTCGTCGATCTGGATGTAGAATGGAGTACAGAGGAGATGACGTTTTGTCGACGTGTTTGGATGGATAATTATTGAGATGAGTAAAGATTTGACGGAGGTGTTGGATCCCAGGTTTGGGGTCAGCAGAGCTCGAGGAAATGATGATTGCTTGTTTAGTGAGGGTGGAGATGATACAAGTCATAGTTTTAAGGGTATGGTTAGACAGACAGAATTGTTTATTTAAGTCTCACTCATGGTACAGTTGATAACACAGTATTAAATACATGAAACATAAAACCATGACCAATCGCCCCGCGATTTATGAGAGACTATATAGATATAGTTAAAACAATGTATAAACAGTACCAAGCATTAAAATACACAATCCGAAGGGAATTTAACAGACATTTGTCGTCATCACACCTTCACTATCATATCCATATTTTGTGTCGATTGTATGGTCTGAATTCTTGATTTTTTTATTCAGTACTCTACAGGCCACAGACCCTTTGTACAAAATGTTTGACACTTATTGATGGAAACAGTCACAGTAATAAAATACGTATTCTTTCTTCTTTACTGTGATTCAGATATTTAGTGATATTAATAATGAGCTTTGGGTTTGTAGTAGATAAAAAGAATATTAAAATTTATGGACATTTGGGTGTAGATAATATTTTGCAGGCATATACAGCGTTAGAAATTGGCACTAGTCCTGTAGTCCTTACCAAACTGACCAATAGTAAAGGTATCCTAAGGACTAATAGAAATTGGCCAATTTTAAGGGTTTTGCTATATGTTATCATTATAAGGACTAGTGGACGAAAGCTGTTAGTTTCTAACCCTGATATAAAGATGGCGTAGGTGAGAATATGCAGGCACACTAGCTAGAAATGAAACTCGTCTTCTATTAGGCCAAAATGACAAAGTTTGCAAAATCTTTCTTCACGGGGGATGTTAAGTTTTCTACAAGTTCTATGTCCAGCCAGTGTGCACTGCATCTAAACCTTGACATACATGACCGGAATTTACTCACGGTTACACAATACAAATTTGTAACACCTCTCGGACACTTGGACAACAAGTCGTGGTGGTGGCAAAGAATAGTTACTTTATTGACACAGTAGAAACCTGAGGAACCGGGCGATCGGCAGTTACAGAGTCTGACAGGGGAAGGCGGCGGAGTCACGTTGACACTTGGGCAGCTGACGGGCTGGTCTGGTTGGTCAGTGTTCGTCCCTCCTTGACCCTGGTTTGCCTTTCTACAGAGTGACTGCTCTCTTTCTATGGTTGCCGGCTCCCCTTGCTTGCCCATCCTGCCTGCTTTTAAAGGCAGCTGACCGATTATTATTCTGCCTAGCTGGTTATGATTAACTTAACATTTGTAATGTCTGCAATTATACTTGACATATACATATAAGTAGGTGGACCCAGATCAGGGTCGTACATGGCACGATAATTATGTTATTGTTTGATATTTTATTTGTTGATAAAAGTCATTCCTATTAACTTCACAATTCGGGAGTGTCAGTTATTCCACTGGACATATCAACTCGTGGAATACACAGATCCTGACAGGTCAATTGCCTTGTAATTGGTCTTAACTGTTCCTAACTGCTAGGGGCACGGGTGGCCCAGTCGTCTGAGGCGCCGCGATTCGCTGTGCAGAGTTGCGTCCCTTGGGCACGCCAGAAACCTATGATTGTGGGTTCGAATCCCGGTTCGCCCCGATTATGTTACTAGGTTTGTCAGCACCATACCCGTGCTCGTGGGTTTCACCGAAGTGGTAAACGTCTGAGACCTGCCTCACTTCGGGCTTTCCTCCCACATTAAGCCGACACGCCGCGATATAACTGGAATACTGTTAAAAGCGGCGTTAAACCAAACTCACTCACTCACTCACTCACTCCTAACTGCTCATGTTCTTTTGACCTTTCACTATGTCCAACGACTAAACCGTGTAGTTTTTATGACTCACAAATTGCCCATGGCAAATAGTGTTACAATATGTCGACATACAAGAAATATATCAGGGGTTCTTTTAATAATCACTTCTCCGATTCCCGCGGCCCGCATCTACCTGTTGCTACGGAGGGTCAAAACAATATCAACAATGCTTGCTTATTGATGAGCATGTTTGACACAACAAAATCTCAATAATAATGTCGATATGTTGAATCTGACCATACGCCCTTTTTCAGGTGAGGTGAAAGGTTCTAGATTATTGCACTTGTAAAGCGACGCTACCCCTGTGTCATCCCCCATCTCCAGGGCTCGCATTCCGGTAAAAGTAAACCATCCCCTGGGTCCACCCCTGTGGTACTCGCGGTCTCAAATTACCCGCCCTTGATTTTCATTAGCCAGTTTAACGGACCAATCAGAATGCGCGTTACAAACCAGCCTCAATGTTTAATCAAAATACTATTGTGCGAACACATTGCTATCACAAATATATTAACACATTTCATTTCTTATTTTGTAGGCTTTTATGCAGGAAAATGTATTTGTATTTGTAAATAAAACCCCATTTCTTTTAGAACATTTCTCTGAAGGGATGGGGATTGCATAATAACAGCTCTGCAAACAACATGCCATAAATCTTTGCAATAACATTAAATATATTCCACTGCAACGCGTGATATACTTTGCATGTAAATCACGACGCGGAAAATAAATGCTTGCTTCAGATTGCTTGCTCTTTTATAGAAGGTTCGTAAATTTTGTTTTACCAGAAGGTTCGAAGTATTTTAATAGGGGAAATTATGTTTTGATTTTAATTGGTTCAAACAAAACTAAACTATAAATATTCTGGTTCGTAAAACTAGTATCTCATTAGGTAAAGTATGTTTACTCAAAATATTTATGATCTCTATGTTCACAACATGTCTGTACGACTGCAAAACTTTTAACTAACTGTGATACCTGGTTTATCTACCGTAGCAAACCTTTATATCTTCACAGATGTTTAGAGAAGAAATTACAATTTTATCAACAAGTAAAGAATTTTTATTATCTTTGATATATCTTTTTAGAAATGATACCCGCACTATGGTGTAGAGTTAACCTCTTTGGGAGTAATATACGATGTAGCGTAGCGCAACTGAGACCGGGAACCAGGTTTGTTGTGTAGGAAATTAATAGACCAATCAGCGTTCGCGTCTCACGGCGGAGAAGGGAGTTTTCCAGTCGTGTATATTGCACGGCATTGGTCCACTATTTGCACTATTTGCACGTGTATATAGACGGTCCGATGGCGGCCAGTCCCATTGATTACGATAGAGTTTGACGTCTTCATGTCCATTAAAACTGGCGGTGGCTTTAGTTTCTAGGCAATAGGAGTTACTTCCCTTACCCCGTACCCTTATCTCAACGTTTGATCGATCGGTAAATTGTTAATGAAAACCAGGGGTTGGTAATTTGCGATATCGAGATTCACGAGAATGGATCCAGGAGTTAGTATAGGTTTGCCGAAATGCGAGTCCTGGACATTGAAGGATGGCACGTGTGTGTGTGTGTGTGTGTGTGTGTGTGTGTGTGTGTGCGTGCGTGCGCTTGCATTAGTCCGGACAAATGTCGGTTTTATAGTGCTCGCCCACTGATACACTGACACCGAGTCGACCAGTCCTTGTTTTATCAATGCCGAATGTCAGGTAGGAGGGCAACAACAAGTATCTCTTAACGTCTTTCGATATAACGCGGCAACGAGCAGAAGCTTTCGGAACAGACGCTCTATCAACTACGCCACGGAAGCGGTCTGTCTTTTTCAAGACGGTAGTGTTCAGTGAAGTCGATAAAGTATCTTGAAGGGTTGACAAATTCGACTGCTTATTCATGCAAATCATCTTCATCACATAATCACGTGATCAACGACAGATTCTCTCGGTAAGGTGACTAAATCTATGGCTAGAAATATGGGCGGTGATTTCCTCTCTGATGAAATTTGCTGCAACCAATATGTACTTTTCAAACTGTACCAACATAAAATAATATTTAATGAAACATCAGCTGTGTTTAATTTTTAAGACTATCTTTTATGCAAAGTGATGCAAACATTTAATTTTGGAAGAATAATAGGTGAGGTGAAATGGGGTTAACGTCGGGTCCAAGCATATTGGACTCATATAGCGACGTGCATACACGTGTGTGTGTGTGAGAGGGGAGGAGAAGGGGGGGGGGGGGGGGGGGGGGGTAGCGTAGCTGCTTGTACTAGTCCGGACTGATACCTATTTATAGTGTTAGCTCACAGTTTAACATGAATACCCCACGGACGACCAGTCCTTTTAATGCCGAACTGCAGACAGGGTAACAACAAATACCATCTTTTAACGTCCTTTGGTATGACGCGGCCGGGATCGAACCCCGGATCTTTCGCTCTCATGGCGGACTCTCTACCACTAGACCACGGAGGCGGTCCAGAATAATAATAAATTGTGATTACTGTAAAACAGTTTTCCAGTAACATATATTAAAATTCAACTTTTTCCAAATGAAATATTTAGCTTTTTTTCGTCTTGGATAAAGATTAAATATTTTGGCCATTGTTTCTGTTATTTTTAAATTTACCTGTTTGGCCCGCAGATAACATTCATTTGCTGCGAGAATAGGGTTACCTGCCCGTGACACCAAGCGACTTCCATCGATGTTTGCCGAGTCGAAATAACACGGAAATAAACGAACACCTGTCTATGAGCTACACACTCCTTTACGTCGTGTTAAAAACATAATTTCCTTTGCGCCAATGAAGTAAACAAGAATGCCATTGGTGAACAATCGTGAATCGACAAAACTGAATTACGCAGTGTGTGATGATAAGTGATTGGTTGATGTTATCCAACTAAAGTTTAGACATCACAAAATGATTACACCAAATATGATTAATTTTGTTTTTATGATAAATGTGCAACCATTATATAACTAATGAGGAAGAGGTCGTCTTCTTGTACTTACACTGCTGCTTTTATCATCACAACAGATTTACAACTTGCGGGACAATGGCGGAAAGATCCAGCGAAACCCTGTGAAGAAGAATCATTCGCAGGTTAGCCAAGTTATCATCTAACTATCCTCCCTGTCAATACCATGACGAGTTGCAATTGAAAATACATTAAAAAAAGACCATTGAAGGTCCGGGGTAGAATAGGTCTTCAGCAACCCATGCTTGCCGTAAAAGGCGACTATGCTTGTCGTAAGAGGCGACTAACGGGATCGAGTGGTCAGGCTCGCGGAATTGGTTGATGCATGTCAACGTATCCCATTTGCGTGGGTCGATGCTCATGATGCCAATCACTGGATTGTCTTGTCCAGACTCGATTATTTACAGACCGCCGCCATATAGCTGGAATATTGCTGAGTGCGGCGTTAAACAAACAAACATTCAAAAATAAACGTCAGAAAATAATCACTCGAATATCCAGCGAAACAGATTCTATATTGCGTAAAATGCAAAATAGAAGTGAAAATTATATGAATGGATCACTCAAAATAAATGAAGACGTCAAGTGCTCGTGAAAAGGTTAAGCGTGTCCCGCTTGTTCTACCAGTAGCACCAGACACTTTGACAACTGGCATTAAAACAGTAAGTGCTTGTGGGTGAGGAGGTTTGGAAACGCCATGTAAAAATCATGTTAACAATAAAAGACATAGCCATTTCCATAACCACATGCAACGTGACATATTAAGTCAATTCCTCCGAATGACTACCATATAATTATGGAATGACTAAACCAGGCATGCGCTGATTGAAAAGCTTAGTTGTAAGTAAACTGTGCCTTGCATATCTGAATCCCTACAGGAGGGGCGTGTGTTGAAGCTAGCTGCCCAGTACTCCAGTCCACAACACCAGAAGAAAACCTGAGAAGTGTCTTGTCGACCATGTCGGAACGGAAGCACAAGGATCTGAGCCTCTTAATGAGGCTGTTCCCAGAGCCTCCTACCGGCAAGAGAACAATGTTTGTCACTGCAGCATCCAGCAACCACTTCTACGAGGCTCAGGCCCTGATCCGGAACCTCCACAGGAATGTCTTCCCTCTGATTGATGACTACACATTTGTGTTCTATGATCTTGGACTGATGCCCTGGCAACGAGAACAGGTGAAACCTATGAAGCTTAAAAGCTCTCTTAATAGTTTGGGTCTATTTCCTGTAACACGTTTACCTGTAACACATTTGTGTTCTATGATCTTGGACTGATGCCCTGGCAACGAGAACAGGTGAAACCTATGAAGCTTAAAAGCTCTCTTAATAGTTTGGGTCTATTTCCTGTAACACGTTTACCTGTAACTTATTTTCTGTCTTATGCCTAGTATTGAAAAATTTAAACTATGCAACAAGCATACAACAGTTTGCACATACAATACAATGGTGAGCGGGTTTGGTTAAACACCGCTTTGAACATTATTCCAGTTACACCACGGCGTGTGAACTTCATTTGGGAGGAAAGCTCAAAGTGATGCAGGTCTTAGACGTTTACCACTTTGGTGAAACCCATGAGCACGGGGATGGTGCAGACAGGCCTAGAAACATAACAGGGGCGGACCCGGATTCGAACTCACGATGGCAGGTTTCTAGCGTGACCAAGGGACGCAACTCTGCACAGCGAATTGCGGCGCCTCAAACGACAATAGGAATTACCACCTGCACGCATGAATTGTTTCTACCACAAAATAACATCAATATGTTTGAGAACCCGAGCTGAACATAATACAAACCAAAATAAACACATAATGAACATAATCAAATTGAAATAAATAACACCCAGCCCATACCATATCAATAATCAATCAACATATATGTACTCTTACCTACGCAATCATCCCTGCACATAGCTTTACATAAGTAGTGAGTGAGTGAGTGAGTGAGTGAGTGAGTGAGTGAGTGAGTGAGTAGGGTTTAACGCCGCTTTTAACATTATTCCAGTTATATCACGGCGTGTCAGCTTAATGTGGGAGGAAAGCCCGAAGTGATGCAGGTCTCAGACGTTTACCACTTCGGTGAAACCCACGAGCACGGGTATGGTGCTGACAAACCTAGAAGCATAATCGGGGTGAACCGGGATTCGAACCCACAATCATAGGTTTCTGGCGTGTCCAGGGGACGCAACTCTGCACAGCGAATCGCGGCGCCTTAGACGACTGGGCTACCCGTGCCCCTTTTCATACGTAACAACTATCTGTAAAAGATAACGCATAAAAACGCAAACTGCATTTACCAGTGCAATAATCATGATGCTCATGATATAGTCGGAATCGTACAACGCACCGCGCTTCGACCAGCGATTGCTTATGATGATGGTACAATGTGTGAAGCCCATTACTGGTGTACCCCGCAGTGTGATTGCTGGAATATTTCTAAAAGCGGCGTAAAACCATACTCACTCACTCAGTCACTCACCTGTGATTATGGAAACAGCTTTGTCTCTTGTATTCACAGATGGAGAAATATTGTCGTTGTCAAGTCCGGAGCTATCCGGTGGAGTTTCTGCCTTCAAGGTTGCAGAATCTTAAATGCTACACATGGAAAGCTATTATCATACAGGTATGCCCTAAGTTTACATTCATGTAGTTTTCATGACCGAATGGATTCAAATGGACACTGTTTAATCCGGACCTCGCCGTAAACCGGATGTTTTTACCGGTCCCAGCCGAGTCTGTAATGGACAGATTCCGCCACATTTACGTGTACTTGTATGCAAGTATTTTTCAATTTATGAATTCCAGTTCAGAATGTATAAATAATTAGGCGAAGTGTTCACTGGATTCATGTAGTGGCTGAAGTACCAGAATACTATCTGTGTTGTCCATAAAGATTCGGCCCGTGAAGATCCGGGGTAGAAAAGGTCTTCAGCAACCCATGCTTGCCATAAAAGGCGACTATGCTTGTCGTAAGAGGCTACGAACGGGATCGGGTGGTCAGACTCGCTGACTTGGTTGAAGCATGTCATCGATCCCAATTACGTGGATTGATGCTCATGATGTCAATCACTGGATTGTCTGGTCCAGACTCGATTATTTACAGACCGCGGTCATATAGGTTGAATATTGCTGAGTGAGTGTAAACCAACCAACCAACCAACCAACCATAAAGATCCGTGCTTAAACCAGTATGGGAATACTTGATGGTTCAGTTTCTGCTACAGATTAGGAGATAAACCTAATGTGTTTTCAATATAGAGTAATGTCACCTGTAAACACAAGAGTTCTTAGTTGAACTGGGAAGTGAAGGCAGTTTATTTGTTTTCATTTTACCATGACAAAAACTTCTCTCACTCATTATCGCCGCTAACACAAAAGAGTTAAGTGATATGTTTGGGGTAGATTGCCGTTGTGAACTGAGGACAGTGTGTCGCTGTACATACTCCAGATCGTGTCAATTACATCATGTGCAGATTACATTAATACACTTTACTCTAATGAATGAGGCATTGAAAAAGCATAGCAAACTCAGCTACGTCATAGACAATCATTACTTGGATATCCCTCAATAACTATTGTGTTTCCAGCCGAAAAATATGTAACAACTCATAATTTGTGTGATTTCAACTTACCGATAGTCAACTTTCCCTTTATGTCAAACAATATTAGAGAGGCTCCAGCTTTTGGTGTCTACTTTTCACAAGGTACAATCGAAGATTTCAAAAAGCGTCTTACGACACTTGCTCAAATGTTGTTTGATCAGGGTTACACCATTCAAGGCCTCTGTTCAGCTTTCGACCCGTGAAGATCCGGCGTAGCATAGGTCTTCAGCAACCCATACTTGCCGTAAAAGGCGACTATGCTTGTCGTAAAAGGCGACTAACGGGATCGGGTTGTCAGGCTCGCTGACTTGGTTGAAACATGTCATCGATCCCAATTGCGTAGATCGATGCTCATGATGTCAATCACTGGATTGTCTGGTCCAGACTCGATTATTTACAGACCGCCGTCATATAGCTGGAATATTGCTGAGTGCGGCGTTAAACAACAAACAAACAAACAGTTCAGCTTTCAAAAGGCTTTATCATAGACATGTTGAGGACATTTCCACATTTGACGCATCAGTGGCTAATAGATGCAATTTATTATTTTCTCAGTTGATTTGCCTTTGCACGTGTTTGTGACCCATGTGGGAGTAACACCTGGTATCATCACTATTTGATAGTGTTTCATAAGCGCATAATACAGTGTGACTCGTACAATTGACTCAGCTTTTGACATGCATGTCAAGGGTTTTGTCGCTTTTATTATTATTAATAATAATATTAATTATTATTAGCAGTAATATCATGAGCAGATTAAAAGTAAAATGCAGCAGAGAGAGGTTGGGTGACACATTCAGGCCGATAAAGGCACATCATCAGCTCAGGGCCCCTGCCCTCTCAACACGCTGCCACGACAGCGAATGGGACTGGCTCCCAAAAAGCGCCGCCTAGTCGAACCCTTCCAGAATATTTAGGAAGAATATGGAGACTTCCTAACACACCAGATTGTCAGAAGAGTTATGCTCTCGGTGGAGAACCCGGGAATCCTCCCTATCTGCGCAAAGAGATCAGGAGGCACCAAATCTTAGGCACCGACTGACTGACTGACTGAGTATGGTTTTACGGCGACTTTTAGCAATATTCCAGCAATATCACGGCGGGGGATACCAGAAATGGGCTTCACACATTGTACCCATGTCGGGAATCGAACCCGGGTCTTCGGCGTGACGAGCGAACGCTTTAACCACTAGGCTACCCGACCGCACTTCCCTATCACACTTTTTACACGCTCCCAGTGTATGGCACCCACTTCATTCCAGTTCTGAACCACTCAGCATATTTTCAAAATTACAAACGAGAGAATTTCAACTTCAAATTATTCGTGCATAATATATGTCCAGACTACATTTTTGCATACATGAATCCGTTCAACCTTAGTTTCCATCTCATCGAGGGTAAACATGCCTCAGTGTATCATCTAAAATAGGCGTCGCTCACACTACTGCGTGTAGGTCTGCACAGTACAATTTATTTTATTTATAAATCGATCCACCCTTCATAAATTATACTTTTGTCATTCATATCATATATGCCTCGGAAGAATTTGGCCAGGGGAGGGAATTCTGGTCAGTTAACAAGAGATTAAGATATCCGGAAATTCGTTTATCCGGATAATATTTGAAAAACGCAAGTGTCCGGATAAGCGAGGTTCGACTATAAATAATACTAATCAAATAAGTTAGAGAACTCACGATTATTTTATGTCACTACAGTCAGTAATGTTCTTTAACTTCTTTTGAGTAGTATATGATGAACTAGTGTAATTATAACTGAAAAGGCCAAGAGATTGATGTGGATCTTACCTACCTTCGATGAGTGAGTGAGTGAGTGAGTGAGTTTGATTTTACGCCGCTTTTAGCAATATTCCAGCAATATCACGGCGGGGGACACCAGAAATGGGCTTCGCACATTGTACCCATGTCGGGAATCGAACCCGGGTCTTCAGCATGACGAGCGAACGCTTTAACCACTAGACTACCCGACCGCCCCTACCTTCGATGAACAATGCATTGCTAGATCTGTAACATCTAAGTATAGGTTTATATCTTGATGTTGTACTTTCAGGCTAACCTGCACAAGGCAGACATACTAGTGTGGATGGACGCCTCTGTCAGGTTCTCGAACAATGTCATCAACTCCCTGCTGGATGATGTAGAGAAACGTGGCCTGGCCATGTCCTCGGGCTATAACTCTGTGGCACAGCATACTCTACAGATCACAATGAACTACATGAAAGAAAACATCTGCACCTTAGCTCCAGTCCCCGAGCTTCAAGCGACATTCATCATGTTTCACAACGAGCAGTGGATTCGAGAGGCTGTTGTGAAACCATGGGCAGTTTGTGCCATGAGTGCTGACTGCATGTGTCCTCGGAATCCAGAACGTGACATTTTTTGCAACGTTTACATCCACAAATACAATAAGTGTAACCGATTTGACCAATCAGCAATGAACATCATCCTCGCCAAACTTTTTCGGGATCACACAAGTAGTTTTGTTTCGACATACGACGACTATGTGGCCATCATGCGTGACGATGCTGCTTATTATTTTGATGAACTTGAGATAAACGCTTGACCCATTCTACTGTCTTCTAACGACCAGCATAGGTTACAGAGGACCAATTCTAGTCCGTGCATCCATGACACATATTTGTTGAACATTTAATAGTGACAGTAACAAACTATGTCACTTATGTGTTTCCCCAAAACACGAGTGAGTTGGGTTTAAAGCCGCTTTTAACAGTATTCCAGTTATATGCAACATTGCAGATTTTTCGGAAGTTTTAGGTGCGAGTGATACTATTTTTTTACAGATTCCAGAATGTTGTATTACGTTGTCCTTGAAGCTCTGACATCCGTTATTAGTGAGTGAGTGAGTGAGTTGGGTTTAACGCCGCTTTTAACAGTATTCCAGTTTTATCGCGGCGTGTGAGCTTAATGTGGGAGGAAAGCCCGAAGTGATGCAGGTCTCAGACGTTTACCACTTCGGTGAAACCTACGAGCACGGGTATGGTGCTGACAAACCTAGAAACATAATCGGGGCCCAAAACACGAAATGTGTGGAGAACAATTGCAACACAGAGGAAGTCACCGTGAACAATATTTCAGACATAGTCCGGCTATTGTGCTGACAAATGCAAAAACACACTCAGGGCGAATCTGGGATTCGGACTCACGATCGAACGTCTCTGGCACACCTAAGGGATCCGAGGAGGGAATTGTGGCGCCTCAGACGACTGGACCATCCGTGTACCCCTTGTGTATATCTTGGAAGCCCACATAAAGTGTCATCCCTGTGACACGCTGATGTCGTTGACACCACTGACGACGTTGTCAAGGACCAGGTGTCAGTTGTGGACGAATAGATGGACGCAGAAGAACGGAGACTTTCAGAACACAATATGGTGGTCATGTTAATGCGGACATGTGTGGCACTTCATTTCTCATCATGACGTGACGTCGGAAAACTATGCGTGTGCTTGTTGTGTTCGTGTGTTTAGTTTTTTTTATGACAGTGCGTGAATGACTTGAAATTTAACGTCACATCGGCAATATTCCAGCCATATCCTGATGAGAACAAGTTATACATTTATAATAAATACATTTGGACTGAATAAAACATGTCTATTGACAGTACAATAACTACATTGATTATCACAGCTTTTATTTAAAACTAGCCCCAGAACATTTAAAAGAACAAGCTGCTTTTCAACATAATATAAACGGGCAAAAGATCGCCAGCAGCCAAAGATAGATTACCATATTTAGGTAATATGGGGACTTACAGTACCTCTGCTACCTATATGGTACCCCAGATTTACACTATCCCTTTAGTCACTGGCGATAGTTTGCAAGTTTGGTCAAACATTTAATATGACAAATATACTACTTTTAAAAATCGGGTATACACAAACAGACTTTGAATGATGTTGAATTTATGACAATGAATACGTTTTAAATTTGTGACAATTTTGGTCAGCTTTCTTGTATCGTGTATCTTGTTGGCATATTATGTCCTTTACGATTGCCTTCAAGGGTTCTTTAAGAGTTTTTTATTAGTTACTTTTTTTATTTCTAGTTTTGAATGGCACACCTTCAACCTAGCTTCTTTCATCTATATGAGTTACTTAAGGATTGACTGTGCATTTCTTTCGGTTCATTGAGGTATGAATCGTAAAACCGATGTGCAAATTGTATGAATCCGCGATGTGCACATCCTTGTATACATACTACATAGTGATATGCATGTCCTTGACAACATAATACTATATAGTGATATGCATGTCCTTGACAACATAATACTATATAGTGATATGCATGTCCTTGACAACATAATACTATATAGTGATATGCATGTCCTTGACAACATAAAACTATACAGTTATATAAACGTCCTTGACAACATAATACTATACAGTGATATGCATGTCCTTGACAACATAATACTACATAGTGATATGCATGTCCTTGACAACATAATACTATATAGTGATATGCATGTCCTTGACAACATAATACTATACAGTGATATGCATGTCCTTGACAACATAATACTATACAGTGATATGCACGTCCTTGACAACATAATACTTTACAGTGATATGCACGTCCTTGACAACATAATACTTTACAGTGATATGCACGTCCTTGACAACATAATTCTTTACAGTGATATGCACGTCCTTGACAGCATAATATTTTACAGTGATATGCACGTCCTTGACAGCATAATATTTTACAGTGATATGCACGTAATTGACAACATACACACATTACAGTCATATGCACGACCCTAACAACATAAATACTTTACAGTGATAAGCACATTCCCAACAACACACATACTTATAGTGATATGCACGTCCTTGACAACATACATACTTATAGTGATAGGCACATCCCTAACTACATACACACTTGATAGTGTCCTGCACGTCCAAGACAACATACATACCTTACAGTGACATGCATGTCCCTGACAACGTAAATACTTTACAGTGATAAGCACATTCCCAACAACACACATACTTATAGTGATATGCACGTTATTAACAACATATATACTTATAGTGATAGGCACATCCCTAACTACATACACACTTGATAGTGTCATGCACGTCCAAGACAACATACATACCTTACAGTGACATGCATGTCCCTGACAACGTAAATACTTTACAGTGATAAGCACATTCCCAACAACACACATACTTATAGTGATATGCACGTTATTAACAACATACATACTTATAGTGATAGGCACATCCCTAACTACATACACACTTGATAGTGTCCTGCACGTCCAAGACAACATACATACCTTACAGTGACATGCATGTCCCTGACAACGTAATACTTTCTAGTGATATATAAGATAGCTACGCGATAAATCGCAAAGAACAATGAAGATTGAAGCATGGTTTATTTCACGATAAAACATTGTTCTGTCATGACGTGATTTCTTGAGATTCCAACATGCGCGCGCAACTTGATGACGTCGTAAATTGGACGACGTTAGTTTTGAGAGGGAAGAGTAAAGTAGGACTTGGTCGACATTGTTGCCGCGGTCGGATTCTATTCAGGGAGTCATCATTATTTAAATACGGGTAAATATTCTTTTAAAGCGCGTACTTTTTATTCACATCCTTGAGGACGCTGCACGTAATGTTAATATTCATTTAAGAAATAAACGACTCGTGGTCGTTGTTTATTGTACAATAAAGCACTTCAGGGATTATAAACCACGAGGGGCGCCGCAGTGTTTTATTGTAAGCTAAACAACTCCCACTCGTCGTTTATTTCTTAAATGCACGTCCCTGACACTATCCACACTGGACAGCGATATGGACGTACGTGACAACATACACACCTTATACAAAAGTGCATGTTCCTGACAACATATACACTGTATGGAGCTGAATTCTACAGGATGGTAAAGAAACAAAGACAATCTAATACTGTAAATACACACCTGAACTACAAATAACGTTTTGGCAATACTCCATCAGAAGTGTGCAACTATGCATATTTATTATCACCTCTTGAACGACCGGAGTTTGACAACGATTTTCGTGTTGAGACGGATTCTAGAATAGACCGCATCTCAAAGATACCGCTTCTGGACGATGACCCTTTACTTAAGACGGACATAGAAATATGCGACCGAAAACGACTGAAACAACGCTTAAAATTGAGAAAATCCCCAGGACCGGACCAAATCACAAATGAACATATCTACTTCCCTGGATATTTGCTCCTAAAACACTTAACCCAGCTGTTTAACATGATGATACGTACTTGCTATACCCCTGTACTGTTGAGATCTAGAACAATTATTCCATTTTGCAAAGGACACAATAAGGACAGATCGGATCCTGCAAATTACAGAGGTATCACCCTGACGTCCGTTGTAGGAAAAGTGTTTGAAAAGATCCCGTAAAGAAAGAATTGAGGGGTATATCAAATATATATGGAGCCTGAATTCTCACATGGGAAAACATAGCTAAAAAGCTACGCCGCTTTTGTGAGTGAGTGAGTGAGTGAGTGAGTGAGGTTTTACGACACATTGTACACACATGGGGAGTCGAACCCGGGCATCCGGCGTGAGGAGCCAACGCTTAACCACTATTGTACTACACACCCCTTACACATGATAAGTAAACAACTTGCTGCGACACAATGAAACATGGTTGGAAAAAACACGACACAATGACGCCTCCCAACACGGAAAATACCAAACGAAGGGGTGGGGGGTAGTAGCGAGTGAGTTGGGTTTAACGCCGCTTTTAACAGTATTACAGTTATATCGCGGCGTGTCAGCTTTGTGTGGGAGGCAAGCCCGAAGTGATGCAGGTCCCAAACGTTTACCACTTCGGTGAAACCCACGAGCACGGGTATGGTGATGACAAACCTAGAAACATAATCGGGGCGAACCGGGATTCGAACCCACAATCTGGCGTGCCCAAGGGACGCAACTCTGCACAGCAAATCGCGGCGCCTTAGACGACTGGGCAATATGTGCCCCCGGGGTAGTAGCGAGGGTTTCGATGTGTCACTAGAGTGTAATATCTACATGTAATGTCTTTTATCATCCAAAACTGGCTTCCACAGGAGATATCGCATGGATTAGATCAAGCGATATCTACACTGTAGATATCGCTGCAGTGAAATTACATCACAATGCTTTGCAGACCATTGTGACGTCACCGGTTACCATGACGTCACAATCAAATGACATCACTAATGGCTCTGCTACTGAAGCTGTTAGCAGTACTTTTTACACTGAAAACACTGCTAATTACTGTTTACAAATTGAAAAAGTTGGAAGAATGATGTTGGATGATAAATAAAACCTCACCCGAGTGTCTTTTGATATCAAATATATCAACACTCGTTGATAAAAGTGGCAAAAATCCTCGGCAAGCCTCGGAATTTTTCCACTTTTATCAACTCGTGTTGATATATTTGATATCAAAAGACACTCGGGTGAGATTCTCTATGTATGCACAATACGTAAACACCAAGCGCCAGAACAATCAAACCCGGTTTATTAATTATCACAAACTAACACTCAATATTTACACACATATTTAGCTTTACTCATTATACAGTTATTCTCGATACACTTAACTGAAATCCTTATCATCAGACACCTTGGTTAAAACTGTTTGTCATGCAGCGTTCAGTTACCGAGTCATTGAGAAGATAGGGATATACACCGCGTGAGCCAGTAATACTATATACGAGGTAGTTTACAATGGGCGTGGCGCTAACCCGGCAAGCATCAGTTTGCACAAGGGAAATATTTACAAGACGCATGAATGAACAATCGAGTGAATAAGGTCCGAATGCGGTGAAGCAATATTGCTCAGGTTAAAAAGGACTGATACTAGTACAACGTAGCTCCGATCTCAATTGGTAGTTTGTCCTCTCTTACATCCCTTCTCTCTCCAGTCCAAACAAAGTCTGCTGCTTAGATATAAGATGGAGGTATAAATGAATCGGCAAATCTTCTGGGTTAGACTCACTGTGTGTGTGTAAGTGAGTATGGTTTTACGCCGGTTTTAGCAATTTTCCAGCAATATCACGGCGGGGGACACCAGAAAAGGGCTTCACACATTGTACCCATGTGGGGAATCGAATCCGGGCCTGAGGAGCGAACGCTTTAACCACTAGGCTACCCGACCGCCCCCTGTTACTCACTGATGACACCCCAATGACACAGACAGTAACAAGACAAATTAAAGTGAGTGAGTGAGTATGGATTTACGCCGCTTTTAGCAATATTCCAGCAATATCACGGCGGGGGACACCAGAAATGGGCTTCACACATTGTCCCATGTCAGGAATCGAACCCAGGTCTTCGGCGTGACGAGCCAACCCTTTAACCACTAGGCTACCCGACCGCCCCAGACATATTAAACCAAGCTGCACGAGAAATGTGTAGATTCATATGAACTGATAGTAGACTCCACAGCGTCGGCTCCAGGTCGGGCCCGCGGCTCCAGTGACAACATAGACCTCACCAGGGAAGCTTTCTGTCTGTTGGACACATGCGTCGCGACTGCGCTCTCGATCTCTTCTTGACTTACACGATGAAACATTCCATTTGATTGTGGGATGACTGGATACAGTAACGTCTTATTCCCTACGTGGAAGGTTTGCAAAGAATGCATGGCGTAGAAGACCACTCCAAGGGAGAATATATCACATGCTGTAGTATATTGACCAGAGAAAACCTCGGGAGAAGCATACAGGGGGGTGCACAACCCGGTAGTCATATAGTATGTGTAGGAGATTGTTGTCGTGTTACCTGATGTGGGAAAAGTTAGTCGAGCAAGCCCCACGTCAGCAATCTTGCAGATGGGGACATAACCAGGTCGTGCTACCAGTAGAATGTTGTCGGGTTTGATGTCTCTGTGGATGAACTTTTTTCGGTGAAGATGACGAAGACCACGAGCCATGTCAAGCATGAAACTGCCTAAAATTCGCTCACCCTGTCTGTTTTCGATCAGGTAGTCATTCAGAGTTCCCAGGTCACAATACTCCATTTGAATAGCGATCTCACCATCAATCCACCCTGTGATCATTTTCACAATATTGGGGTGATCAGAGCACATATCCAGTGTTCTTATTTCTTTCTCAAGAGCATTCCGATCTAGGTTCGGCATTTTCTTCAGTTTCTTCAGGGCATATAGTTGACCGCCAGCCATTATCTTGTACACAACACCGAACTGACCTTCTCCAAGTTTGCCATACTTTATATAACCTGGGTTGAATGCTCCAGTCGCCATCTTGGGCTGCTCGCTGGTGAACACGGGTGTTATAAATTCATATGACATTTTGTGAGGCGTGTGTTTCTGGGTCACAATCCTAATTTTAGTCCAGTTCGTGCAACGTTGCTCGAAACCTGGTAGCTATTGTTTGCTTTGAACGCTACATGTTCACGATCTTGTGGATTTCACTCAGAATACTTATTGTGAAAGAGGAAAGTAACTGTTTGAGAAGGCAACGATGCATATCACAGTTTGATCGCTATGCGTTGGTAGGCGAAATGTCATTTCATCACGGCACACATTGTACATTGAAATGTTTACATATAGACTAACTGATAAAGCCAAATGCATGTGGCGAATGTTTAGCTTATGATTTGAAGTCCTGGATTAAATAAGGACTTGCTATTCACTTTCTTGCAAACAATATGTGTCACGGGTGGGCCAGTCGTCTAATGCGCCACAATTCGCTGCGCAGAGTTGCGTCCCTTGGGCACGCCAGAAACCTATGATTGTGGGTTCGAAACACGGTTCTCTTCTCTTCTTCTTCATGGTCTGCCAGCACCATACCCGTGCTCGGGGGTTTCACCGAAGTGGTAAACGTCTGAGACCTGCACCACTTCGTGCCTTCATCCCACACCAAGCTGACACCCTAAGAAATGACTGAATACTGTTCAAAACGGCGTTAAACCTAAATCACTCACTCACTTTTTACAGTATTACATAGATAAGATAAGATAAGATATATTTTATTATGGCGTCGCATATTGTACATAATATAACATGTTTTTAAGCAATAAAATGTGCATTATCCAGCCTGGTAAAGGTTTACGAGACACTTCTTACATAATTAAAAAATATAAATTATATTAAAACCCACTAAACATTGGAATGTAGCTATAAAATACATACAGTTTCTACACTCATTAAATAAGCACTTACTGTTTATAGAGTACTTAGGGGATAACTCAAGCACCAGTAAAAGTATTATCAGCGACAGTAACTGATAGAAACGTCAGTAAACGGTCTTGCTGCATAATGTAAGTTCACTAGTGGCTATTTAAATAAGTACAAAATTCAGGGTTAAATTCCTCTGCCTTTTCTAGCAGATTAAATCGCTGATAAAATAAAAGTCACCCAAAGTGAGAAAGTGGGTTTCATCTTCGACAACTTTAACGTCTTTGAGTTGCACACACTGATGTCTAGATTTACTTATCTGCGGACCGCCTCCGTGGTCTAGTGGTAGAGCGTCCACCCGGAGAGCGGAAGGTCCGGGGTTCGATCCCCGACCGCGTCATACCAAAAGACGTTAAAAGATGGTACTTGTTGTGACCCTGTCCGGCGCTCGGCACTAAGGGGTTAAAGCAAGGACTGGTCGGCTCGGAGTCAGTATACTGTGTTTTAGTGGGGTATTCATGTTAAACTGCGGAATGGTATCTCAGTGAGCTAGCACTATAAATCGGCATCAGTCCGGACTAGTACAAGCAGCCACACAAACACACACACGTACATGCACGTCGCTATATAAGTGCAAAAATCTTGGACGCGAGGTTAAACCCAATTTCACCTCACCTCACCTCACCACTTATCTGTGCCTTTCACAGATTTGGTAAGTATTTTCAATGAATCCATGGGACGAATTCATACAGGAGGGGACCCAAACCACGCCATCCTAATACTAACTATGTCTATAGTATGCCATGGAATTAGTGGTTTCTCAACGACGTCCATCGTTCAATTTTATATGCATTTCGTCTCCACTCGAGATGGTTGACAGTGAGGCACAAACAACAGATGATTTATATGCATGTGGGTCAGTCTGACATAAATGTGAAGCCTCCTGGGGATGCACCTTCATGGGCTTATAACTAACAATAACGTCTTTATTGCCAAACTGGAAAAGTAGCTATTTCACGTAAAAATACGAATGATGCTAAGAAAGGCGGTGTTTGTGTGAAACATCTCAGATGACACTAAGACTTCTCATGTTGCTGTGACGTTCATGGGTTGATACAGGAGACACAGTTGATACAGGGCACACAGTTGATACAGGGCACACAGTTGATACAGGGCACACAGTTGATACAGGGCACACAGTTGATACAGGAGACACAGTTGATACAGGGCACAAAGTTGACACATGGCACACAGTTGATACAGGGAGCACAGTTGATAAAGGGCACACAGTTTATACAGGGCACACAGTTGATACAGGGCACACAGTTGTTACAGGGCACACAGTTGATATAGGGCACACAGTTGATACATGACACACACAGTTGATACAGGGCACACAGTTGATACAGGGCACACAGTTGATACAGGGCACAAAGTTGACACATGGCACACAGTTGATACAGGGAGCACAGTTGATAAAGGGCACACAGTTTATACAGGGCACACAGTTGATACAAGATACACAGTTGATACAGGGCACACAGTTGATACAAGACACATAATTGATACAGGGCACACAGTTGATACAGGGCACAAAGTTGACACAGGCCACACAGTTGATACAGGCCACACAGTTGATACAGGGCACACAGTTGATACAGGACACACAGTTGATAAGGGCAAACAGTTGATAAGGGCAAACAGTTGATACAGGACACACAGTTGATACAGGATACACACTTGATACAGGACACACAGTTGATACAGAACACACAGTTGATACAGGACACACAGTTGATACAGGACACACACTTGATACAGGGCACACAGTTGATACAGGACACACAGTTGATACAGGACACACAGTTGATACAGGACACACAGTTGATAAGGGCAAACAGTTGGTAAGGGCAAACAGTTGATACAGGACACACAGTTGATACAGGATACACACTTGATACAGGCCACACAGTTGATAAAGGGCACACAGTTGATACAGGGCACACAGTTGATACAGGGCACATAGTTGATACAGGGCACATAGTTGATACAGAACACACAGTTGATACAGGGCACACAGTTGATACAGGGCACACAGTTAATACAGTGCACACAGTTGATACAGGACAAACACTACATGTTTGGGAGGAATAAACACACGTCAGGGTTGATAGCTATCCTGGTTCCAGTGCCTAGCTTAGAATACTATTACAAACCTCACTTTGATAACACATTCAAACGAAACCAAAGGTTTCTATAATTAACAATGAAAAGGTTTTTCAGTCTTGAGTATACCGGACGTACACTACGTCTTCGCGCACAATAGTGTATTGTTCTCATGACTAAACCGTTCGTATCACATTCCATATCAGGTATTTAAATACAAGTTTGTACTCACCTTAAGTCAACTTTGTATCTACTCACACATGTAAGTATCGCCGCCTCCGTGGTCTAGTGGTAGAGTGTCCGCCCGGAGAACGGAAGGTCCGGGGTTCGATCCCCGGCAGTGTCATACCAAAAGACGTTTAAAGATGGTACTTGTTGTTACCCTGTCTGGCGCTCGGCATTAAGGGGCTAAAACAAAGACTGGTCGGCTCAGAGTCAGTATACTGTGTCTGAGTGGGTTATTCATGTTAAACTGCGGAATGGTATCTCAGTGTGCTAGAACTATAAATCGGCATCAGTCCGGACTAGTACAAGCAGCAACAAACACACACACACACACGTCGCTTTATAAGTGCAATAATGTTGGACGCGACGTTAAACCCAATTTCACCTCACCTCACCTCACATGTAAGTATCTAGGAAAGATTGTCATACGACTGCTAACACAAGTGATTCACCGCATCCTGTTTCAGCTTTGACTTGTAATAGAAGGCTCGCTGACTTGGTTGATGCATATCATCGATCCCAATTGGTCATGATATCAATCACTGGAGTGTCTGTATTTGATCAAATACCCTACAATACAGCTCAGACTGCCTTCTGATGGCTGCGGTATAAATCTCATCTCATAAGATGATCTCATTAACTTGTCATCCTGCCGATGAGGTAGACCTTTTTCGTCACGTGAACAGGGTGACTGATATGAGATCAGATCAATTGTTTGATTCCTAGCATTTTATGGCCGCTTTAGATAGATGAGGGCAGCCTTGAACGATCTGACTGCAAGGAGGGGACCAAGGCTCAATATGTCCATTCCTTGTTTGTCTGTATTGACAGTGATCGAAGTCCGTAGACAATGATGGTTTGTTTTTCGTTTCAATAACACAAAGTGAACATTGCTTGCTTTCATACTGCCTCGATGGTCTAGTGGTAGAGCGTCCGCCCGGAGAGCGGAAGGTCCGGCTTCGATCCCCGGCCGCGTCATACCCAAAGACAATAAAAGATGGTAATTGTTGTTACCCTGTCTGGTGCTCGGCATTAAGGGGCCAAACGAGGACTTGTCGGCTCGGAGTCAGTATACTGTGTGTGTGTGTGTGTGTGTGTGTGTGTGTGTGTGTGTGTGTGTGTGTGTGTGTGTGTGTGTGTGTGTGTGTGTGTGTGTGTGTGTGTGTGTGTGTGTGTGTGTGTGTGTGTGTATTAGCAGTTCGTGATTTCCCAGCAGCACAAATCCTATGTCTGCGACACTAGATGTTGCAATACACCAAGACATAAAAGAGACAAGGGCTTCAGCATGACAAGAAACGCGGGGTGGCCTAGTGGTTAAGCGTTGTATGGTCCCGAGTTCGTTTCGCAGCCTGCGTTCAATTTGTGAAGGCTATTTTGTGTCTCCCGACTTGATATTACTAAAAGACGGTGTCGTAAAATCATTCTCAGTAGCTTTAACGGTGAGGTGAGGTGAAATGGGGTTTAACGTCGCGTCCAACATTATTGCACTTATATAGCGACGTACATGCACGTGTGTGTGTGGCTGCTTGTACTAGTCCGGACTGAAACTGATTTATAGTGCTAGCACACTAAGATACCATGCCGCAGTTTAACATGAATACCCCACTCAGACACAGTATACTGACTCCGAGCCGACCAGTCCTTGTTATAGCCCCTTAAAATTAATGCCGAGCGCCAGACAGGATAACAACAAGTACCATCTTTTAACGTCTTTTGATATGACGCGGCCGGGGATTGAACCCCGGACCTTCCGCTCTCCGGGTGGACGCTCTACCACTAGACCACTGAGGCTGTCAGTAGCTTTAACGATTTCATTTTCGCGTCATGCTGATACTACGGCTTAAGTTGATCTTTTGACTGAAACTGTTAACAGGATACTGTGACCAATTGAAG